GACCAGTGGATCAGGGCCAGGCTTAGGATTGGGTAGAATTAAGAAGTCACCTATATGATATCACCTTAACAGATGCCAAAACACACCACTCCCAAAGGCCTACTGATAAATGAAATTCCACAATTAACAACTTGTTCTATTGGCTTTAACCTTTTGCTGGTTAAAATGCAAATCCAAAAATATGTCTCTCTATAAAGAAGACATGTTTCAACACACTTTGTAGCCAAATTTTGTTATCAAAGATTTTGAGATTTAATGATACTGTAATAAACAGCATTATTATAATATAGAAGGGATAGAGATGAATTCTAGAACATCAGAAGGAAGGTAAGGGATTCTGGAATGAAGATATCTTAAACACCAACTAAAATAATATTAAATGTGCTGGGAACATTATATATACATGTGTATGTGTGTATATATACATATACATGTGTATGTGTGTATATATACATATACATGTGTATGTGTGTATATATACATATACATGTGTATGTGTGTATATATACATATACATGTATATGGGTATACTATACATATATGTGTGTGTATGTGTGTATATATACATATATATGTGTGTATGTGTGTGTCTATACATATATATGTGTGTGTATGTGTGTATATATACATATATATGTGTGTATATACATATATGTGTGTGTGTATATATACATATATATGTGTGTATATATACATATATATGTGTGTATGTGTGTATATATACATATATATGTGTGTGTATGTGTGTATATATACATATATATGTGTGTGTGTATATATACATATATATGTGTGTGTATATATACATATATATGTGTGTGTATATACATATATATGTGTGTGTATATATACATATATATATGTGTGTATACATATATGTGTGTATATATACATATATGTGTATGTGTGTGTATATACATATATGTGTGTATGTGTGTATATACATATATACATGTGTATGTGTGTATATATACATATATGTGTGTGTATGTGTGTATATATACATATATGTGTGTGTGTATATACATATATATGTGTATGTGTGTATATATACATATATATGTGTGTGTATATATACATATATATGTGTATGTGTGTATATATACACATATATGTGTGTATATATATAGATATATATGTGTGTATGTGTGTATATATATATATGTGTGTGTATGTGTGTATATATACATATATATGTGTGTATGTGTATATATATACATACATATATATATATATATATATATATATACATATATATAAAATCTATGCAGCTAATCAAGACAGATATTTGAAAGCTACGGGAGCAGAGAGATGGGTTAAGGTAGAAGGTCTCAAGTAAGGAAGGGAATGATGTGGAGATAAGTCTGGAAAGAAAGGGTTTGCCAAGCATCTGCCAATGTTAGAACAAGACAGACTCCACACCCCGGAAGAAGTCTGAATGAGTAACTCTTCTGCCCTGACAGTTTCAAAGAATGGGCAGCACCAGCACTACTTCTCTGGTACACAGGCTATTTGGAGTCAAAGTTCATATTCCAGTTCACCCATTTAATCTACTCGTATGACCTTGGGCTTTGACACGTCTTCCTTCCGGGCCTCAGTTTCCTCATCTATACAATAAAGGAGGTGGAATAGATGACCTCTTAGGTCACAGACATGGCTCTGATATCTCCCCAGAATCCTGTTAGTTCTTCCAGCACAGGTATTGTTTCAGTTCTGCCTTTGTATTCTCAGTGCTTAGCACAATGTCAGTCACATAACGGGCAGCTAATGAATGCTGCTGGTTGACTGACCTCACAAGAGGAGGCATGGGAAGAGGGAGGAAAAGACCCTGGAGATCATTTCTTCTGCACCTCCCACTCCAGTCACCTTAAATAAAAAGGACCAACCCATGTGATATCTAAGGTTCTTTACAGCTCTAAATCCTATGATCTGGTCTGGTTTTCCACAGAGTAATTTCAGGGTTCATCTAGCCCCACTGAAGTTTACTTCTGCCAACTTGCTGACGCCAGAAATGTCTTTTGGAGAAACAAAGCTTTTCATTCTAAAATAGGGAGCTAAAAGGCTAAAGTAACCACGGTTAAGGCAACATTATTGGAAACTTGTTCACACTTAAATATAAATCAGCCAACAAACATAAATGGATGAAAATCAAGTCGTTTCTACTTCTGATAGGAAGGGGGGTTCCGGACTGCTGGAAGATACTGGACACCTAATAAGGGAGCTAAAGGGAAAGGCTAAAAACACAAAGACAAATGGCAGCCAGGCCAGCCCTGCCTAACCTCCAAGAGTCTGCGGACAAACATAATCTATTCTGGAGATATTTCAGGTGATATTTTTGGGAACACTGCCCTGGAACATGTATGACACACCTACCTGTCCACAAGCATCAATAAGGTTTTTATTTAACTTGACCGATTTATTATTTAAATTTATGCTCCCAGAGGACTGAAATATTGCACTCAGCTACAACTGTGCTATATTACATTTCCCCACCCCAACCCTGACAAGGGATTCAGCTTTATTTATATCTTATTACCACTGGGTTCCTCTGACCCTTTTGTGAGATCAGGATCTGATAAAGGTATGACTGAGAATAGGAAAGGACTTAGCTTCTGAAGATGATTTACCTGCTTCCCTTTCCCCAGAGCACACCAAGGAGGGAGTGAGCTTTCCTCCCATTAGACTACTAATCTAAGGCTCCCAAATCCTCTACTTTCTACTTTGTATGAGAGTTGTTTGGTATATCTGTCATGTCACCTATTGGCCTGTCCTCTAGGAGGGCAGGAACCATGCACTGGTCGATCAGTAGCTCCATCACCTAGCACAGGTTTTCTGATTCCAAATCTGGGGCTCTTACCACTCTATCACATCACTAACCTTTCATTTTATGGAATAGAAAATCAGCCCATAGAGAGTAGAAGTGATTTACTTAGGATCAGATGGTTAACAAAACCAAGTTAATTAAAATATGCAAAGCACTTTGCCAATTTTCAAGCACTATATAAATGCTAATTATTATTATTACCCAAGAGTAGAACTCAGAGCCTTAACTTCCAGTTAATACTGGTACTTGCCATATGGAAAAGGTCTCTTCATAGTCTAGCATTAAGGAAGACAGTAGAAGGCAGGAGGGAAGAAGGAGCAACAATGGGAAGCAGTGCCATGATACTAGAATCAAAATGTGTTAGCTGATTCAAATCTCTTAAAATTATAGGTTAAAACCCTGAAGCCTTAGGTGTCAGAGGCAAAGCCAGAGCTAGGAATCTGTTCTTCTGACTCCACATCAACCCTCTTTCCACTATACTATGCTGAGATCTCTAAAATACATACAAGGATCCATTACACACTACATATTTTGCAGAAGAATTTTTTCAAGCTTGTTCTAATAGAACAAATGTCTTTTTCTGAGTATGACTTTGCTCATTATAATTTGCTAAAAGATACCAATGTTACTGTGTAAAGTTTCCTTTCTACTTACCCATTTCTTGACATCCTAGGCATGACCTTTCTTTTTGTTTTGTTCCAAACATGAGATTTGGGGTCAGACCCAATATTCCTCTTGTTGGGAAAATCCCTGGACCAACGTAAATCAGCAACAGTTTTGCTGCTATTAACTAGGGTTGTTGTTATTTCAGTCGTGTCTAAATCTTTTTGACTCCATTTGGAGTTTATCTTGGCAGAGATACTAGAGTAGTTTTCCATTTCCTTCTCCAGTTCATTTTACAGATGAGGAAACTGAGGCAAAAGGTTAAGTGACTTGCCCAGGGTCACACAGCTAGTAAATGAGTGAGGCCAGATTTGAACTCCTGACTCCAGGCTCAGTGCTCTATCTACTGCACCATCCAGTCATTGGAATACTAAGAAGTTAAGTGACTTACCCTGGGGTCACTCTGCCCAGTATATGTCAGTAGCAGAATTTGGACCAAGCTCTTCCTGCCTTCAGGATCCGCTTTCTATCCACTATGCCAGCTGCATTTTTTAAATGTTATTTTTGTTTTTTGTTGTTTTTAAAAATTCTATACCTATGATTTCACTGGGCTAGGGAGCAAGAGGCAGGGAAGTCCAGGGAGGGAAGGAAGGGATACTCCATCTACCAATGCAGATCGACAACTATCCTGCAATTTACAATCCTAAGAGAACTGCCTAGAATACTGAGAATTCCTAGGGTGAAAGAGCCTTTATGGGTCAGGGACAGAATCTGAACCCAGGTATCTTGATTCCCAGCCAGGTTCTCTATCCTGTTCTCCATGTTGCCTCCCAGGATCCTTCTTTTAAAAGGATGTTCTAGGGGGGTAGCTAGGTGGCTCAGTGAATAGAGCCACCAGCCCCGGAGTCAGGAGGACCTGAGTTCAAATCCAGTCTCAGACCAGACACTTGACACTTACTAGTTGTGTGACCCTGGGCAGGTCACTTAACCCCAATTGCCTTGACCCAAAAAATTAAATAAATAAAATAAAATAAAAGGATGGTCTACACTTTTTGAATAGAGAGAGACATATCTAAATTGCATTTCCTCCTCTGAGCAATTTGTACAACAGGCTCACCTCAGCTCCCATTTCCGAACTATAAACCAACTTTAGTCAAAGTAAAGGGGGAAAGTAAATGTTAACATCTAAGTCTACTGAGTTCATATCTAGGATTTCTTTGATGCTACCAGCATTTCAACAAAAAGGAATTAGACTTGTTGGTCACAGAGGGCAGAACTGGAAGAAACCCCCCTCCCCCAAACTCCCTAACAATCAGAGTTGCGCCCAAATGAGACAGGCTGACATGGGAAGGAGTGATGGTAAAAGGTCTTCAAGTGAGGCCTGGGGACATCAGTGATGTGCTCCACATTTAGGGTGATAGCTGTGATCTCAGATCCCTTACAACTCGACAATTTCATGATTTTACATAGCCCCCTCTCCTAATCTTCAGTTAACGGGACCTTGTGAGTGCCTGATTTCGCCCTGTATCCAGCCACTTACATCTCTAAGGACAGGGGCTAAAAGGGGACTTACCTCGTTTCAGTGCTGAGAACAGTTGAATAGCCAATTCCTTTACACCGGAGCTAAAATCTTGAGTTTTCTTCACATTCCAACCTTTCAGTTCATTTCTGTAGTCCAACACATGTACCACCGAGGTAATCAGATCCTCTGTAAACTTTAAGATCAAAACTTGATCATTAATAACATTTTCACTGTAGGCCAAGAATAAATTTCATTTCAGCATGAGAAACAGCAAGAAGAAACTTTGCTTCCCACTACTGCCAACTACTATAACCCAGCTATTACGGAAACTCTTAATGTTAATTGGGTCTCTCAAATTATGACAACCTTGTAATTAATAATAACAATAACATTACCCTGATAAACTATACAAAGAAAAAGATAAGACACATGCAAATTTCAGGGGATACTTACAAAAGGCAATTCTACAGGATTCCAATGGAGAAAACTAAAACTAATGGGTAGAAGTTACATGGAAGAGGATCTGGGCTTGATATAAAATATAGCAATTAGAAAAATCCAAAAATGGAATGACTACCTTGAGAGATAGTGAGTTTCTTGTTACTATAGGTGCTCAACCAGATGATCATTTATCAGGGATACTCTAAAAGAGGTTCATGCTTCAAGTAAGGGATGGAACTAGGTGAGCTTTAAGGTCCCTCTCAACTGTGATTTTAGAGACCGACAGGGTATGATACACCATACAATACATTATCACAAGTGAATTTCTAGGAACAAAGGAAATTTCAGAAGGAAGAAGGACATTTGAAATAGTGCATATTAATCTGTAGCTTACACAGAAGGGAAGCCGCAAAGGAAGAATGGCTGAAGAAATACAAAAGAAAATTAATTGACAAGTATAAGTGGCAATGACCTTGCTTGACTGAGCCTTAGCAACAAGGAAAAGCATACATTTGTTTTAGCGAAAGGGAACGAGGGCCAATTTTGTCAAACTCTTCCCTTTTTTCTACCCATTTCAATTTTTAGGTGCTCACCCCTCAGCTTCAAATGGTCTTCTCTACTCTCCTGTCCCATGAAACAAACTAACACCTCTATCTGAGATCTCACTTTTTGTTTTCCCTGATAACTAAGCATTTTCTGATCTGGGGGGAAAAAAGCTTCTAACAAAACAAATGCATGAATCTCCATATCTTAATGCAGAGAGGTCAAACACATAGGCCACACCACTCAAGGCAGCCCAAACCAGATTAAAATATAATTGGGAAATATTTAACAAAATTTTTTTAAAAAGACAATAAAACACATATAACATCACATTTCAAACTAAGTGAATATGTGGTCTGTAATGGTACTGATGTATAGTTTAATGGCCCTGATTTCTCTCTGAATTTGACACCATTGTTCTAATGAATCTGTGAGCTCATCAAGGCAGATTCTCCCACCATTGCTACATACTACAACCCTACATACTGGTGGAGGGGGGGAGATTTTATTGTATTTGCTACCGAAACCACATGCGACAGACAAAACTCATATGGTGACTGATGATCTGATTAACTCTGAAATCACAATTGAGCCTCCCAATTTATTTTCAAGACTGCTCTAGAAGTTTTGACAAAAGCATTAGAGTTCTGACCTGAACCAAACAGTCATATGGCTTGGGGTTCTGTGTCAGATAATAAAACAAGAAAATGGGCATTTCTCTGAAATGGTCTTCATCTTTCTTTTACCTGTCGGATATGACTTGCTTTCACATTTTCAACAGGCACATGTAACATTTTCATGATTATGTTGCTCTTCTCCCCTATGCTGCCTTTTAACAGGTTTGACATCAAAATTACAAACTGCTCTTTGGTGACATAGTCAGCAGGACACATGTTAGTCCCCACCAGGTCAATATTCCTCATTCCATCATAGAGCCTGACTGTCATTTTCTCCGGCAAGGCATCCCCAAGGTAAGCCTATTTAGAGTGAAGAGAAGGGGAAAAAAAGAAAATTTTTTAAAAATGTCAAAATAGCTTATAGCATCAAGATTGATAAAAACCACTTTCATTTGACAGGTATACATAAATTGCTCTGACCAAAAGTGATTCTCCAGTAACATCAGTAAAACTAAATTTCAATGTAAATTTCAAAACCCTAATGTAATGGATGGGTATTTGGCTGGTCTTCCATTTATGACATAGTCTTATAACATTAACTTCCCACTGCCATAAAGTCATTTCACAGAACTTTTAAAATCAGATAAGATGCTATTATTATCCCTGCTCAAGAACATGAAATAGTTCCTCCTTACCAATGAGATCAAGTCTAAATTCCCTTTCTGGGCCTTCCAAGTCCTCTTTAAACTCCTGAATCGTTCATCCTCATCTGTCTTACTACCTGGCCACAAGTACCTTCCACTTCTCATCACTGACCCTGAGACCCTCCTCCTTAACCTGAGGCCACAGAATGCAAATGGACTCTATGGCCCCACTTCTCACAGTTCTCATCTTTCCAGGGACAGCTTAAGTCCCATTTCTTCCAGAGAGCACATTTAGGGTACTCTGAACTTTTCCCTTTTTTACTTTCCATGATATTTTTATTCTGGCCTTTAAGTCTATTCTGCCTCATGTAGCCCTCTAATCCTTCACTTACAAAAGCTATCTACTTAGTTGGACTCTAAGCTCCTTGAGGACAGGATGAGATACTGTTTTTATATTCCCCATAATACTTCTTTGTGAATATTGTGGGCAGCTAACTCCTTGTTGAATTGCATTTCTGTAGCAAGCGTGGATAAAACTTGGTTCAGTGTAAGAAATAAAGACAGGACAAAGATTTATAAACTACATATAAGCACCACATACTACCTGTTATAAAGCATTTTGTTCAAGAAGAAAGTCAAGAGGCACTAGACATGACAAGGACAAAGTATCGGATAAAATGAAATTGATTTTCTTGCCTTTTCCAAGCAGTAAGCTATGCAGGCAAGATAGAAAACTGTGTATAAAGTCTTAGGGAAGAAAATGTTGGCAGATTAGCACAGTGCTAATTAGTAAACATTCATCAACTGAGATTGGGACAAAGTATTATCTCATACTGTAAAAAAATTAAGAAGCAGTACAGGGAAAAAAACCGAGTTTACAGAAAGTTTGGTGAGAGACGCGATTAAACTATATCAACCCAAGAGCATTTAAAAATGACACTGGAAGAAGTCAGAAGACAAATATTTAAAAGTGGAAAAGCTATATCAAGATTCTATGACAAACCTTCCTCTTGGTTAATGATGGTAGAGCCACCACATTTGGAGAGTAGATGAGAAGTAGAAAAGATATGAAAGAAAAGTAAGATGGGAAAGCAGTTAGACTAGAAGATGTCTACACACAGGAGATTGATGGCAGAATCAATACAGGGGAGAATATCAAATACAAAAATGTTAGAAAAAAAATCAATGTTATTACTGCTTCTTAAAAATGGCTATGGAGAAAATAAACAACTACAGACCTATATGTTTACTTTGCCTGTCCTTAAAGAAGTTATGAGAAGGTAGCGGGTGGGTTTCATAAACAGCATTCTAAGACAGGCCACATCATTATGATTGCATGAGAGAATAAAATAGCACAGAGAATACAAGTGCCCATGGTGTTCACTGTTGACTATTTCCAAAAGAGAATTTGTTTAATATGCTTACTATTGTCATGGCAGTGTCCAAATCAAAAATGGGTTCCCTATAGATGGTGAAATCTTCTATATTTTCCTATTTACAAAAGATACCATATTGATCAACACAGCCCCAGAATACTGCAAAGCCTCCTAAATGAGATCCATAATTACTCAGAGTAATTCCACCTACCATCTACTTTTTTCTCCTAGAAAAAAGAAGAATGTTTATTGTCCAGAGAAGGTATTCAGTTGCATGGACAGCCCATAGAGTTCATTCATCAGTCCGCAGATCTTGGAGGGACACTAAAGATGGATGATAAACTGAGCCCAGGATCAAATAAGATGAGAAAAGCAGATTGGATTGCATTTGGGAAATTACACTATTTTTAATGACCCCAAGTTTGCCTTTGAAACAAAGGCCCATCTTCACATCAATATTCTTCCAAACGATGCTGTATGGCTGCTAGTGATATAATACTATAGTCACCAAAGTTATGGGTTGACCTAAGGGCAACAGAGAGGTCAGAAGTACATGGTGGTCAGAAGTAGGCTATATCCTATTCCTAGTGAACAGCTGAACAAAAGAAGCAGCATAAAGGAAGTCAGATGAATGATGCAAAAAGGAGATGGGTGCAATTAAAAACAAAGGAGAAACAACATATATCTCCTGTGCTCTACTGGTATCCCCTCAATGTCAAGAGATATGGAAGGAGATCCTCCATATGTTGTGGGGAACCCCATTGAGATTTGTGAGTGATCACATTAAAGAGGAGAAGATGGCAGAAATGGGTTTTAATCTATTATTTCTGAGTGAGTATTTACAGTGATGAGACCCTAGTTTCACCAAATTATCAAAGTGGCTAAATTTACCTATTACCTAGGCCATATGAGAAAATCTTACAATATTACCAAGGGCTACAAAAGTGATTAAAATCACATGGGCCTGTTTTATTACTGATTACAACCCACCTACCTTCCCCAGTCACTGCTGTCATCACAATCTCAGGCTTCTGGGTTTGTTGGCACCAAGAAGCTAAACAAACCCCAAAAGGGAGTGGATCCGACTCAGGAGAGCCAAGAGCCTGGACTGAGACTATGTTGTACTCTGGCATCTGGTGTCCGAATACTGAACATGGTGCCATTACTGCTGTAATACTACACACTGCTCCTTCCATGAAGTGAGAGCCATATGAATAAAAGATGACCACCAATGAAATCAACACACGGACAATCTTTACTCCCTTAGAGCCATCTTTTCTTCTGATTTTTCTATTCTATTTGCCACATTCTTGATTGGGATTTAATTTACTATATATCTTTCTCAGTAGATTTTGTTTGCTTTCTCATTGTACACCAAAGGGGCAAAATTTAATAATACACAACTTACCATTACCGTCATATGACAGTTTTAAAAATATCAATTAGTAAATGATTATTTAAGAAACTGATTCAATCTTAATATGCTGTTTTAGAAATACATAATACCCAGAAGCTGATATTTCGTAAGCATTTTAGTTACTAGTCAGGCTTCAGGCTTACCAGAGTAAATAAATATCACACATTTGGCCAGGCAGAGACTGAAAACAGTCAATGGCTAATTTCCTAAAATGACAGAGGCCGATCGTTGTTTAGTTCTAGGATCATAGATTTAAAGGGGAAGAGACTTTAGAGGTCATTCTAGCCCAGTCCTCTCACTGCACAGACGAGGAACTTGTGGCCCACAGAGATTAAAATGAGGAAGCAGGATGATGGCATTTTAGTTATTCCTAAGTTGGGTCTTAAAATATGTTGCTTCGTTATTTCACTGGAACTGATATGAAATTACCAGGATATAGGACATATTTACATTCAAAAGTAACTCTGTCCACAGTATGAATATAACACAAAACATATCAACTGCCCTGCTGGGTCACACACATGGTCGAGCGCTTCCAGCCTGAGCATGGCACAAACCAATGCGTTAAACTGAAAAACTCCACTCCAGAATACCCAAAGTTATCTCTTATTCTTGCCTTTAACATTTCCAAAGAGATAGGGATTGGTAAAGACTTTCTGCTCTTTCCACAGGACAGCGTCTCCAAACCCCCTGATATGGCAGCAAACAATCCATCAATCTCAGCCTGTTCTTCAGGTAGAAACTGTGAGAAGTAATTGTGACGGCAGTTTGCTTGCTTATTCCCCATCTTTTTTTACTTGTGCCAGAATCCTACAAGGAAAAGGAGTGAAAGACATACAGTTGGAAATAGATAAAAATTATTCATATAACCAAGGTGAAAATAGTCATTTTCAGCAGTGAAATGCTGCTAAAATGCATCAGACCAGTGTAATGACAGTTTTCTAAATGGTACAAATTAAAGGTCATGGTACATAATTTAAGAAAACCACCTATCACTGGAAAGCAGTTTTATATTAAAATGATTTTTTTGGGAGGGAAATGGAAAAAAAAACCCAGTAAGGTTCACACACACACACACACACACACACACACACACACACTCTCTCTCTCTCTCTCTCTCTCTCTCTCTCTCTCTCTCTCTCTCTCTCTCTCTCGGCAGACCTGAAGCCAGGAAGGCCTAGATTCAAGTCCTGCTGGAAACACACAAGCTGTGTGACCACAGTCACAAAAAGTCATCCATGCCTTCAGAGCCCTAGACAATTCTCCAAGACTGTAAATGACAGAGGAGAGGCCAATCTTCATTCAGTCAGAGCTCCCCACACCAAGGAAATCACAGGGCCAGACCAAAATGCATATACATACATCTGCAGATCTGTAGTTAGAGGGTGGTTATTATTAAGACTAAGTGTGTAGGTGTATATGACTAAAACATAAAAAAGAGAAACAAGGAGAAGGGGAATACTTAGGCAGCTAGGTGGTACAGTGATTAAAGAGCTAGTCTGGAGGGAGGAAGACCTGACTTCAAGTGAGGACTCCAATATTTACTTGCTGTGTGACCTTGGGCAAGTCACTTACCCTCTGTTTGTCTCCGTTTCCTCAGCTGTTAAAAGGGGATGACAACAGCACCTTCCTTGCAGGGCTGTTGTACAGATCAAATCAAATGAGATAGTATTTATAAAACACAGCATCTGGCACAGACTAGGTGCCACATAAATGCTTACTGATCTCCTCGCCTTCCCCTTCTTTCCAAAAAAGGAGAGAAACTTGACTCTGTGATGCCACTTCTCTCTATCTTCTGGAGTTGAATCATGGGGCAAGGCACGATGAGATTGCAAGCAAAGACAAGAAGTAACTTCTAGACTAGCAAAGATGAAGAAAAAAATCTCCTTACCAGATAAACCAAATGGGGCTGGAGCGGGGCGGGGGGGATGTTCATTGATGTGACATTCCAGTGAAAAAGAGGATGGATGGCCTATCTACCTGTGGAAAAACAAAAGATGGCAACAGGAAACGTGTCTTTTTTTTAAATAATATTTTATTTTTTCCCCAAATACATGTAAAAACAATTTTTAACATTCATTTTTTTTAAATTTTGTGTTCCAAATTTTCCCTCTCCTTTCCTGCCTTCTTTCACCTCCCTGAAATGGTAAATAATTTACTATAAGTTATACATGTACAGTTGTGCAAAACATATTCCCATATTAGTTATGTTGTAAAAGAAAACACAGACCACCCTCCAAAAACACATACACACAAAAAAAATAAGATGAAAAATAGCATGTTTCAATCTGTATTCAGACTCCATCAATTCTTTCTCTGGACGTGGATAGCATTTTTCATCATAAGTCCTTCAGCTCCAGTCTTAGATCATAGTATTTCTGAGAATAGCTAAGTCGTTCACAGCTGATCATCACACAATGTTGCTGTTACTGTGTACAATGTTCTCCTGGCTCTGCTCACTTTATTCAGCATGTAAGTCTTTCCAGGTTTTTCTGAAATCATCCTGTTCATCATTTCTTATAGCACAATAACATTCCATTACAACCATATACCACAACTTATCCAGCCATTCCCTAATGATGGACATCCCCTCAATTTCTAATTCTTTGCCACTACAAAAACAGCAGCTGTATTTTTTTGGTACAAATAGGTCCTTCTTCCCCTTTTATTTTTGTCACTTTGGGATACAGACTCAGTAGTGGTATTGTGGGGTCAAAGGGTATGCACAGTTTGATTGCCCTTTGGTCATAGCTCCAAATTGCTCTCCAGAATGGTTGGATCAGTTCACAGCTCCACTTTCCCCATGTCCCCTCCAATATTTATCATTTTTCTTTTCTGTCATAGTAGCCAATCTGATAGGTGTGGAGCGGTACTTCAGAGTTGTTTCAATTTGCATTTCTCTAATCAATAGTGATTTAGGGCATTTTTTTTTTTTTGCTTTTTTTGGTGAGGCAATTGGGCTTAAGTGACTTTCCCAGGATCACACAGCTAGTCAGTGTTATGTGTCCGAGGCCACATTTGAACTCAGGTCCTCCTGACTCCAAGGCCAGAGCTCTATCCACTGCACCACCTACTGCCCCTAAGGCATTTTTTCATATGACTATAGATAGCTTTGATTTCTTCTGAAAACTGCCTGTTCACATCCTTTGACCATTTATTGATAGAGGAATGGCTCTTATTTCTATAAATTTGACTCAGTTCTCTATATAGTTGAGAAATGAGGCCTGCTGTAAAAATTTTTCCTCCAATTTTCTGCTTTTCTTCTAATCTTGGTTGCATTGCTCTTGTCTGTGCAAAAAAAAATGTCTTTTAAAACCCTGATTTTCTATGCAAAAGTAAAAATAATAATCAGAGCCTACACTTCCACTGCACTTGACATATGTCCACCATAACTCTGTAGTGTATATCATGTACCATTATTCCCACTTTACAAAGAAGTAAACTGAGGCTCAGATAAGGGAAATGACTTTTCCAAGGTACACAAAGACCCTTCACATCTCTAACCTTTTTTTCCACTCATAGACTCAACAGCTTAGGCCAAACCCTCATCACCTCTTGACCGAACAGCTATAATACACGTATCCTCCTAATTAGTCTCCCCTCCCACTCCTCTACACAGCTGCGCAGATCTAACCATGCAATGAATGGTTAGAGTGGCGATAAACTCCATTGGCTCCCCATTACCTCTAAGATCAAATATGAGCAATTTGATTTGACTTTAAAACCCTTCACAACCTGGCCCCGCCTCCCCTTCCAGGCTGATTCTAAATGATTTCCTTGGCCAAACTGGCCTTCTCTCTCTTTGTACCTCCACGCAGCCCCATTCATCTCCTACTTGCAGGCCTTGGCCTGGGCTGCCTCCCCCACATGAAGGGCACTCCCCTCCACCTCTGCCTCTTAGAATGGCTAGTTTCCATCTAACCTCAGCTCGGATGCCAGCACCTACACAAAGCACTTCCCAATTTCACCAGTCGCAAGTGTACTCCTCCTGAAATGACTTTATGTCTAATTTATATCTATTTACGTACCCATAGATAGACACATCTGTTTATGCATTTTGTTGTGGTACAATGGATAGCATACTGAGCCTGGAGTCAGAAAGATCTGAGTTCATATCCTGCCTTAGACATTTATTAGATGGGTGGCCCCAGGCAAGTCACCTAACCTCTGTTTGCCTCAGTCTCATCTACTAAATGAGGGTAATAATAACACCTTCCTCCAGGGTTATTGTGAGGATCAATTGAAATAACCGTAAAGTGCTTAGCACAGCACCTGCTACATAGTAGGTGCTATACATGTTGGCCATTAGTGACCAGCATTGCGGTGCTTCCCCGGCTTAGACTGTAAGATCTTTGAGGGCAGGGCTCATCATGCTTCTTTTCTTTGTATCCCCAATGTACAGCACACAGTACTGAGCTTAATAGAGTATTATTGATCAACTAGCCTTCAAAGTCCCTGTGATTATGTTATTAACTTCAGCAAATCTGGCGTTTTACTTCTTTTAAGACATTTATTAACGTTTTATTTTGAAACAAGATACTTCCCAACAAACATCAAAACAAGCCCTTTATAAAATCCACTTCCCCAAAACAAGTGACTGCTCACAGAAAACGGGGCCTCACCCTTCACTTCTGGCAAGATCTCAACATTAACTGGTCAGAAAAAGCCAACTTTTGTTGCCTCTGGATGAACACTTAATGTACATTGTTGCAGTCATCAGGAGCATTATTCTTTCGGCTTTGCTTTCTTCATTTTGTATCTCTTCATAGAAGTCTTCCCAAAGTTTCTCTAAATTCTTCATATTTACCCTACTTATGGGGAGTGCTTACATTCTACAATTTGTACAGTCATTCTAAATCACTAAACACGTTTTTATTTTACCTTAACTTTTCAGTGATGTCTTTTGTTTTTACATAGCATCCATTTTCGAGTACGTCCCTCCTGGGCCCAGTTAAGCCCAGCCCTTGTAATAAAGATTTTAAAAGAAAGCAGCAGATCAGTAAAATCAACCACCCTATCAACCATACCTAACAACATATGCCATATTCCTATCCCTTGTCCCCAAATTCTCCAATGAAAGGAAGGAAGCGCCTTTCTCAACTCCTCTCCAAGGACAAGCTTAGTCACTTTAATTACTCAGTGTTCAGCTTTTCTTGCTTAAATTTTTGTAGTGGCATGTATTGTTTTGCTGGTTCTGATTTCTAAAATAAATCAGTATTTATTAAGCGCCTTTTATGTGCAAGGCACTGGGGACAGAAGTACAAAGAATAAAAACAGTTTCTATTTGCAGTTAGCTTAGAATCTAACTGGGGAGTCAACTAAGTGCACCTAACAATACACGCTGCATAAATATAAGGCTAATAAACACAAAGCACAAAGTAGTTAACAACTAGAACCAGGCTCTTTAAGGTTTACAAAGTGCTTTACATATCTCATTTCACGCTCACAACGCTGTGAGGTTGGTGGTACTGTTAACCCCATTTTACAGATAAAAAAACTGAGATTGAATCAGGTTAAGTGATTTACTCAGGGTCATACAGCTAGTAAATATATTAAGGTAGTATTTGAACTCAGGACTTCCTGACATAGAGTCCAACACTATGTTCACGGTACCTCCTAGTTGCCTGATACAAAGAAGTCTGAGATGGATGTGACTAGTAGTTGGGAAGACCAGGAAATGCTTGACGTAGTAAGTAAACTGAGCTACATTTTAAACAAAGAGAAGGACTATCTCAAGCATGGGGATGGGCAGGCAATGGCGTGAAGACTGCATCTGTTCATCTGAGTCTTCCCATGCTTCTCTGAATTCTTCATATCCTTTCTAATGGGCTCTAAGATTCCATTACATTCATGTTCCACAATGTGTTTAGCCATCTCCCAAATGACAGGCATATACTTTGGTCACAATTTCTTGCCACTGCAAAAAGTGATGCTAAAATACTTTAGTGTATATGGGACCTTTCTTTTCTTCTTTCATCTCCCTTCAGTACTTGCCAGTAATGGGATCTTTGGATCAAAGGTATGGCCATGTCATCCTGGTTTCATATGGCTGACCCTAGAGGGCAGAACTAGAAGCAAATTTAGACTTGCTACAAAGAAAAACTTCCTAGCAATGCAAAACTCAAACGGATCACCTCAGAAGACAATGGGTTCTCTCCTTACTGGAAATCTACCAGAAAAGGTTGAATGAACACTTCTCAGATATTTTGCAAAAGACATTCTTTTACTAAAATGAAGGACTGGGTGGTGGCTGCTAAGGTTCCTTCCAAGTCTGAAATATTATATGATTCTAAATGAATGGTAATCTTAAAAGGTTTGTAACAATTCCCTAAAGATTTTTAAGTTATTAAATACAATGATTTCCCCCCAATTCTTAGCTTCCCCCACCCTGCCCCTCTATTCTAACTATATTGATTTTGTGTGAGAGCTTTTTAATTTTAAAGGTTACTGCATGTAGTTTGGGGAAGGATGAAAGAGTACTGCAGAATCAGACATGATGGTGATTATCAATATTTTAATGTATTCTGCCATCTCCATACATAGGCTATAATAATTTTAAAATAATTTGAGGGCTTCACGGAAAGGCATGACCTGGAAACATCATTACTACTAGCAAGAGTAAAATATTAGTAATTATTAATACCAAGAAAATACCTTAATTTCCTCCTAAGTAATCTAACTTTTCTTCAAGATAAAGAGATAAGGTTTTCTCATTCGAAATAGAAATTCCCCCCACACATACTACCTGCCCCAATTTTTCTATTTTAAGTGGGAACTTAGAATAATATATCATTATTATCTGAAAACCAAAAATTCAATGAGAGCCAATTCATATAAAATCACTAAGAAGTTTTAATCAGAACTTTAACAAACGGAATGTTGGTTTATTACCAGCAAAAAATTTCAAGTTTTCCAGTGAGAAAATCAGTGAATTTGCAAATTCAACAATACATAACAAGTACTCTTTTTACCGAGCCCCC